CCTCATAATTCTTATTCACAAATGGCTCTTTGGCCTCATTAGTTTCACAATTCCACATGACCATTTGGTCACGTAGTTCACATTAGGGCTCTTAGCCACATAATTCACAAATGGCTCTAGGCCACATTGAGCACAAATGGCCACTAAGCCACATTGGTTCACAATGGCACTAAGCCACATTGGTCACAAAATTTCATATGCCATTGATACATTCCGGTAGTCACAACGTTCCAATTATAGGATGCGTACAACTTCACAACCTTTTCAATGTTTTTCACAATTTCGTATCAAGAATTATTTTATACAATATGTCATTTCATACCAATCATTCATTGCCAACACCAAGTTTAAAGTGACATCATAACGTCAAGATTATACGTCAGTATATCATACGATTGATTACTTTCTACAAGTCACAACGTCATTAATATTATAAATACTGAGTTAGTGGATACATTGAAGCACTATTACTCACTGTGTTGTGGCGGTGCACTTCCTTTTGAGGTGTTTTCTACACACATGAACATATAAAAAGATTACATTAGCCCCTTTTTCTTGTTAAACTAACATTCGCGTTCACTTACTTTTGATTAAACTAACGAACATTCAAATAATATTAAATTGCAGGGTTTTGACCACATTAGAGGACCCCAACACGCAAAACGAGCATTCCCAACTTTTCTGCCTTTGAGCCGCCACGTGCGGCTAGGATCTCCCGCACGTGCGGCACCACTCCGCACGTGCGCATTTGAGGCACCCGCACGTGTTTTTTTTTGCAGTGTTGAAGCCCGGAATTTTGCCATTTTTCCGCCACGTGCGGCAGTGACTCCCGCACGTGCGGCTGAGGTTCCCGCACGTGCGGCTGAAGGCCCCGCACGTGCGGCTGAAGGCCCCGCACGTGCGGCGATTCTGCACTAAAGGTCCGAAATTTTTGCACAATTTTTCTTCTTCTTATAGACATTTTAGGCCTCAAAAATCTAGCTTTAAATTACCAATATATAAGCTCCAAAGCATGTAATTACATGTGAACAAAGGATCAAATTACATCTTTCATTTGAGTAAAACAAATCAAATCATAAATTCACAACTTAAATTTACTCTAATTCACAAGATTTCTATTTGTTCTCACATCTCAACTCATAACACAAATGCATATCACATACTTGAAGTTAAACAAGTCAAGTGAAGACATAGTCAAATGTGAGTCAAAACATGCACAGGTAAGGTCAATTTTACTCTTCATACTCACAAACACCACAATTCCAACTCTTAGGAAAAGATCATAGGAACATCTTCACATAAATTATGACAAGAAGGGGTGTGGATAGAAATTAGACAACATATACATACCTTAAACCCAAACTCAACCTTGAAGGATCTTCTTCTCTATCCCTTCACTTCTCAAGTCCTAGGGTGATGAACTCTCTCTTCTTCTTTTTTTTTTTTTTTTTTGTTTTGTTTGTCAAAATAACCAAGATCATATATATGTACATCCATAAGGAGAGGAATAAGACAAAAATCGATCGTTTACATGTCCGAAATTAAAATTTCACGAAGTGCTTAATATTACTTAAAAATTATGCTGATTCCAAATATATGTTCAATTTTGGTTTATTAAGCTGCTAAGGCCTTCAATTTCTACTTTATCATTCGAGTAAGAACAGATACA